GATCCCTTTCCTGCCGCCGTGGATTTCGGAAAGGGGGTCTACTGGAAAGGCGCGGTCCATTGGGTGAGTGTAAGGGAAGTTGAGTCCCTGTGTTTCAAGGTTGCAGATCAGGTGCTCGATAAAATGCCTGCTTTGCCTCGTCGGTATATTGGAGCTTATTTGAGCGATTGTTTATTGATTCAGTCTTGTGGGAGCTTGCATTTTGTTGAGAGCGCAAGTGTGGTCACTCGATTTGATGTGTACGAGATGAGGAGTGATTATTCGGAGTGGTTTGTTAAGTACCGAGTGAACCTCTCGCCGGTGGTTGCCGCCAATCGGGAGATGGTTTTTGGTTATGTTAATCCGGTGGGATGGTTTGACTTGGTTTTCTCTGTCTTGGGCATTGTACGTGGCGAACGCGAGGAGGACTCGTTCTTGGTTTTGCAGACCCCAGCAAAAATCATTAGGTACAATCTCATTTGCGGGACTTTTGAAAATCTTTATGAGTTTGAAGAGGATGTTGTTGTCGAGGGCTCTCTTAGATATCCTTGTGTTGGTGGATTCGAGTACATTGAGTCTTTATGTTGTGTGTAGGATTTGATCTATGTTGCGGTGTGTGAGTTTAAGAGAATATGTATTGATGTTATGGTACATTTGCGCAGAAGTATTAAGATATGTTCTATGGGAAATGTTGCGATCCCATTACGAAACCATTCCGTCGGGTTTGTAACTGTTAGATCAAATATCCCCGACGGTTACATGATGATATAACATTCCCAAACTCCGACAGAATGGTTCCGAACGGGACCGTAGCATCTCTCTATGTGTATACTTCTTGGTAAATTGATGAAAATGGTTTGTTCGGACATTTTTGCTACTGAGTTGTGCAATCTTGCTATAGATCTTATGTTAGACCAACCTAACCGTTAGGCCAATACCTTCTTTTTATAATTTTGTATACTTTCAATTGAAAATTATTTTAAAAAGTAACTTAATGAGAAGTATGATATTTGAATTTCATAGTATAAATATGCATTTTTGTTTGAATAGGATAACAGGTTTACTCAACTGCTTCATACAAGAATTTGTATTTGTTTTATTATCACATACTAACATTGATAGCTAAAAGATTTTATTGCTTATTTTCAAAATCAATTATTTATGGCTGTTGAATAATTTATCAAGCACCACCTATATTATTAGCTAAAATTTAAGGTTCAAATAAATAGAGCACAAAATTTTTTATTCACTCGGAACGAATAAAATCAGCTATATATTTGTTGTTGTGTAACTGTCATAATAATTAGACATTGCCAAAACACAGGTTGTGTCCGGGCCCGGCCAGGCGGGCCGACTGGCTTGGAAAGGCTGACGCGGAACCGGCACGGACATAGGTCGTGCCGGGTCCATCACCCTGCGGGCCGGGCCGGGTCCAACCCAGGTCTAGGCCCGTCGAATTAAAAAATAAAAATAAAAATGAACATGTAATTTTTCTGGGCCAGGATAAAAAAAACAAGGTCCTGTACCGTCCCGATTAAATTCGAGCTGGGCCCGAACCCCTAGTCAATGGGCCGGGTCCGGGCCGATGGGAAGGGCAGTCTGTGCCACGTCTAGTCATAAACTCATAATAGATATTGATTATCAAATAACAATGAACAAAAACTAAAAAATAAAGTACACAACTAATATTATACCATTATACATTTTCGAACATATATATTTCCAAAGTGAAATAGCATACGTTAAAAAATTATATAAACTAGAGTACGAAATATCATACGGTGAAAATAATACAAATAAAAGTATGACATATAACATAAATATTTATTTTTTAACAAAATGTAAGCTACTACTCGATCTTGTACATATGCACATGTATAAATAAAGTATTATAAATTATACGAATAATATTAAAATTATAAATTGAATAATTAACTCACAACATAAAACTATTTTACTATATACGAATCATTATATTAATTGAATAGAATTTAATGGATAATAATTTTTCTATAACTTTTTAGGGATCCTCATCAATTATATATCTAAAAATATTGAAATCGCTGTTACTATTATTGTTATAGCAACTGATTATGAGATTTTGAAACATAAGGGAAATGCTATGGTTCTGTTACAGAACTGTCCCGTCAGGGTTTGTAATAGTTAGACCATTTATTCTCGATAGTTACATGATGATGTAACGGTTATAAATTTATACGAAATGGTTTCATAACGGGACCGTAATATCTTCTAGTAAATGAAAGTACATTGACGTTGAAATGTAGACAGCATTATTTAGTAAATTAAATATATAAAATAATTTGTTTTGCCGCCGGCCAAAGATTTCTTTCTTAGCCACTAAACCCAACATAAACGTTCGCAGCCTTTAAAGCAATCCGATTGGCTAAAAAAATATGAAAAGCAACAATAACATAATCACAAAAATATTAAAAAATCAC